TCTTTACACATTCTTCCCACTGAATGTGTGAGATAGGATCACATAGATCCACTTTACATATGAAAAGAAGTTGTATAAAACTTGCTGGGCATGTGAAATAAAGAGTTTTAGAAACATTGGCTTCAAACACAGAGTATTCTATCCAAGACTCTAAACTTAGAAATTCAACTTGCATCTAATTTAAGAAAGCTAGAAAGATAATGGTAATCAAGATAGTGTAATCAAGTATCACAGCCCTATAGTGTTCCCGCAGAATAGTGTATTACAGAAAAGCAAAAAGCCATATAAGTGGGGGAAAAAAATCCCAATATTTAATATTATAAATTGTTGGTTCCTGTAAACTTGCATTTATGCATCACATTATAAAAGCCATTATCCTTATGTATTGCCCATACAGAAGTGCACTGTGATGATGATAGTATAATTTTAAAAGTATATTTGTTTTCAGGATTTAATTTGAAAAAGGTTTGAGGGAAAAATAATTGTTGAATTTTGAGTGTTTCTAATTTTAAAAATGTGTTGTTCAGTTGAATTAAACGCATTCAACAAAACTCATTTTATAATTTGAGATTATTTCTTGGGCAATTGTATTCACTCGGAATTCAATACATGATTAGAAACGGAATTTAAAAGCACAATACTCTCAAATGTAGTACATTTGTTTGTTCATTTAGCAAATATGAACTGGGTCCCTACTATGTGCAAAGTAACACTGGATGAGGGATTTCTAGGCAGATCTTCAGTGAGACCCACGTCCCAGGCTATCATGACATTATATATGTGTTGTTGTTGTGTGCCATCGAGTTGATTCCAACTCACAGAACCCATGTGACAGAGTAGAACTATCCCATGGGGTTTCCTAGTCTGGAATCTTTACGGAAGCAGATCACCAGGTCTTTTCTCCTGAAGAACTGCTGGTGGGTTCAAACTAGGGCTTTGAACTGGTTCATTCTGGTTTGAATGCGTGCTAAGAATTTGCATTTCCACCAGATATACTGAATCAGAATCTACATTTTAACAAGATCCCCAGGTGATTCTTATATGTAATAAATTTTGAGAACCGCTGCTCACTCTACTAGTGGTTCTCAGAATTGATCCCTAGCCAAAGTTATTAACATCACCTTGGAACCTGCAAATTCTCAGCAGGGGTTTGAACTGGGACTAGCTGGTTCGAAGTCCTGGTTCAAACCGCCAACCTTTCGGTTAGAAGCTGAGTGCTTAACCACTGCACCGCTAGGAATCCTTGACATTATATATACATGGTGTATAGTTAATTTTTCACAGTGCTTGCTCTAGAGGTAGCAAAATCTGCCCAATTGGCTTGTAAGTGCATGAAGGATGTTTTCCTATTCCTTTGAAATGAAGTTTAAAAGTGGAAACAGAAACAGTGCCCTTCACCTCTGAATGTAGTGTCTATTTGGGACTAACTTATCTGGAAGAATCTACATCTACATCCTGCTTGATCTCGCTTCTCAGGCAGTCTCAGGTCCTAAGTAGGGCCCACTGGTGAGACCAGCCCAGCATATGCTCACGAGTCATCAAAGTTGCTGCTTTGCACATTCAGGAGATATTTATGGATTTTTTATTAGGACAGTTTTTATGGCCCAAGATTAAAAGTTAAAGTTAAATAGTAAAAGTAATGAAGATGTACCTTTGGAGGATCTGACCGGTTTGTGTTTTCATTCCTTCCTTTTGTCACAGGCCATTGAATTTTGATGATAGCATTAAAAAAAAAAAAAAAAAAGTGCCTTGAGTCACTTTTGGAAGGAGACAGGGAATGAGCCAACAAATTAAGACAACAAATTATATTCCAGAGATGGTAATTTATGAAATCTACATTAAGTAAAAGTTTGTTCTTTTCGGATGTGGAATTAATTTGTAGTGGCTTAAGCATTATAAAGAAATACTGTGGGTGACAATTGATAAAAGATTTAATTATTTGGTCATACAAAATAAATGTCAAGGCAGTGCATCCACAGCCCTGGTGGGAATGTTTATAAGAAGAGCCATCAGTGGAAAATGACACTTTTTGAAGCTCATCCAAGGGACAAGTTTTGCTTTAGGGTCTCAAATGTATTATTATAAGGTGGTTCCTTTTGGGCAGGGACCTTGGGGTCAAATCAAATAAAGCTTCACTTTATGATGAATCAGTGATCCAGTGGAGGTAGTGAAATAGTAGCCTGGCCTCAAATATGAATTGCCAAAGATATTTATAGATGCATGTAATTAGATTAAAAAAAAGAAGATTCTGTGGGTCGTAACTATTTCAGAAATACAGTAGTTATCAGAGCCTTTTGTATGCAAATATCTTTTATAACTCTCTAAGAGGGAGAATAATAGCGTATTACAGACTTACATCACCTCTTACCACCCCCATTTTGTTTTAGTTTATGTTTAAGGATGCCAGCCTATGTAGAACATCCAGGGATAGAAAAACAGTGTTTTCCAAACTTACATGACCACTTTTCTCCCACCTCTTTCTTTGTTTCTTTTATCATTTGTGACACCAGCCTTCTTTGGAACATTCATTGGGAAGCTTTGTGCTGAAACCATCTTTACTCATATGAGCCTGTTACAAGTCCTGATTCACACGGCATTGCAAAGATTAATTATGTGACATATTACTCTCCATATAGTATTTTTAAAAACCATCCTGTTAATAGATTACCTCAAAACCCTCCAGCCCATACTATTGCTTAAATATTTGTAAGGACTTCTCTTTCTCTCCAGAGCCCTCAGGTAACCAAAAAGTCAGACTGTCAGAAACAGCAAGATGGTACATAGTGCAGAGCATTCTAAAAGAAACAGATTTTAATATCTTCACTACGGCACTTGCTTTGACTCCCTCCTTTAGTAATTAGATAATTATGTATAATTAGCACATTAATTATGTACAACAGCTGCAGTTGAGTGTGTGTGTGTACAACTGCTTGAAAACAGCTTGTGAGTTCACTATTAGACCCGTGAAATCTCTCTCCTTGGCATGTTTTCGCTATTAGTTTAACTGTGTGTGTGTGTGTGTGTGTGTGTGTGTGTGTGTGTGTGTGTATACATGCATATACACATACATACATATATGCACACATCATATGCATATATGTACATACGTACATATGTACACACACATGCATATATGTACATATATTTCCCCCCTCTCATGTACTTCAAGAGCCCTGGTGGTGCAGTGATTAAAGCGCTCGGCTGCAACCAAAAGGTTGGTGTTTCAAACTCACCAGCCACTCTGAGGGAGAAAGATGTGGCAGTCTGCTTCCGTAAAGATTACAGCTTTGGAAACCCTATATAAGGCAGTTCTACTTTGTCCTGTAGGGTCACCATGAGTCAGAATTAACTTGATGGCAATGGGTTTGGTTTCGTTCTCATGTACTGAGGTAAAGAGTAATGCAGTGAACTAAAAAGTAACAAGTTAAAATGACTCTAATCTCATGGGCTGCCCTGGTAAAATTTAGAGAAAGCGTCATCACCTTCCCCTGGGGTGCTCGCTGCTGAGAACAGCGTCCTTCTGATACCACATGTACCATGTTAGTGTTTCAGGGCCATATAGCGAAGGTTTTTTGATGCATTTAAAAAATGCATTTAGTGTTGGGGAAATATTAAGTAGAAAAAAAGAAGTTTAAAAAACAGTATGTACAGAGAAGTTTCCTTGTTATATAGGAATATAGGCATAGAAAATGGATACGCATAAATAATGCTAGTATAAATTATCTGCCTGCCTGCCTGCCTTCTTTCTTTCAAAAGCTATTGATTAAATATCTATTATGTGCCCCTCACTGTGCTGGTGCTGGGAATATAGCACATAACAAGATGGACACAGACTGTGTTTGGGGAATTATAGGCAATTTTGTCATCTTAAAAAATATTTTTCTGTCACATACTATGTTACTCCATTTATAGGAAATATCCAGAAGAGGCAGACTCACAGAGACAGAAGCCAGGGGCTGGGGGTGGGAATGGGGGGATGGGAAAATGGAGAGTGATTCTTTAATAGGTGAGGGGGATCTCCTTTTGGGGTGATGAAATATTTTGGAACTTGATAGAAATGATAGTTGCACAACACTGTGACTGTACTAAACTCCACTGAATTGTACACTTTAACAGGGTTAGTTTTATGTTACATGATTTTCACATCAATAAAAAAATATTGTTCACTATTTTCTGAAGTGAATTTGTCACTTTTATAGTCAAAAAAAAATACCCTCAAATTGTGTGGGGGTCGTTTAAAATATTATAATTTCATTCTTGGCATAAGGTTAGGCACATAGTAGGGCTCAATAAACACTTATTAGATTTAAAGGAATTATAATTGTATTTGAAAGCAACAACACGATAAAACCCAATTTCATTATTGTTTTCTTTATGATCTGTCCGGCCTAGCATCATTTCCCTGGAAGTACCTGGGGAGGGTGGGTGACTGGCATATCACCTGTGCACTTGCTCAGAACCTCTGATGGACCATGCAGGCTCCACACACCCAGCTCCGACTAGACCTGGCCGGCGCCAGGGTGAGGTGGAAAGCTTCCATCAGTTTGATCACGTTCTCGACGCCTCTACCCGCTGCAGCTCCCTTCCACACCTGTCTGTGCACCTGCTCGGGCTCCTTGTGGGGCCAAGCCTGCAGGCTCAGCACTTTAGCAACAGTTCCTTCTGTAAAGGTGGCTTCGAGAGGGCAAAGGGTCCTCTTCCAAATAACTCAGCACATTCCATTGTGGGGGAGGGTGGGGACTAAAACTCTCAAATCTTAATAACATGGCAAATGATGGAGACTCCTGATGGGGAACCATCATTGGCCAGCAGGAATTTTTGCTTTGTTAGGTTCGCTCCCCTCCCCACCCCTCCCCTCCCCCTCCTCTTGTCTCCCCTCCCTTCTCCTCCCCTACCCCTCCTCTCCTCTCCCCTCCCTTCTCCTCCCCTGCCCTCCCTCTCTTCTCTTTCTCTGTCTTATTAAAGTTTTCTCACATATTAAAAGAGTAACTTGTGCTCACTGCAGTTAGTAAAACCATGCAAAAGAATGTTTTTGGTGTTGTGTGCCATGGAGTGGATTCTGACTCATAGCGACCCTAAAGGACAGAGTAGAACTGCTCCTACAGGGTTTCCGAGGCTGCAGATCTTTATGGGAGCAGATCACCAGGTCTCTTCCCTGTGGAGCGGCTAGTGGGTTCAAACTGCTGACCTGAACATTTAAACATTGCACCACCAGCAACAAACACAGTTCATGACATTCCCCTTCCTTCCTACAGTCCTGAAGCCATTCCTGCTGTTCTATGACCCACTGATGAGAGCCCAGCAGATGCCCCTCACACCTTTCCTGGCTCTTCCATCTGTACGCATACATCTGTGCCCAATATGGAGAGGAATTACTGTCTTCTTTCACAAGAAGGATGTCTTATTTATGCACGGGACTCTGCTCCTTGCTTGCTTATCTCCCTGGCCAGTACACCATGGACATCCCCCCAGGTCAATAGATAAAGAGCTAACTCCTTTCTTCTAATAGCTGCATAATATTCCGTAGTATGGATATTCCACAATTTATTGTGACTGGACTTCCATCCATTTTAAACTGATGTTTAGAGATTTCTGGACATTTGGAAACATTTTAGAAAAATCTTTCTAACTGTAGACACTGAAATTCCGACTAGGATGTAGAAATGTTTAAAATGCCGTGCACCCTGTGCTCCTTCGTACACCTCTGTTCCCAAAACATTGTTCTTCATTTTGCACATGTGCCGTCTTCTGTATTCCTCTGAGTCCTTCCTACATGCACAGGCAAAAGTCCAGGTGAAAGAATACTTATTTAGTATAATTTAAACATGAGTGATTTCTAATGCTACTTCCATTTAAATAATTCAAAAATTCATCTCAAGGTGTCTGAATGCTACAAGAAGAGAGGTGTTAATGGATACATCATCGAGGCTGAAGACAAACTGTGTTATTCCGTGTGCAGCTGAGAAGAGTGGAGGAGCAGTGTAAGGAAAAGATTGAGATTAACATTGTCGTTATTGGTGTTTTGTTATCTGAGTTGACTATTTTGCACCTTCCTGGAGACATGGGTCTGATTCCTTAGGAATCATTTTTCCTCCTCCTGAGGAGTGATGAATTTAAACTGATCTTAATTTTAACTGCATTATTTGTTTGTTTTGTATATTTAAAAACAAGTTTTATGAAAAAGTTGTATACATTTCTCATTTATGAAATCAGAGCAGCCATCCTTCACGTGTGAAGCAGATATCCCAGAATATTAAAATCTTGAGCTGCATTTATAGCAGTGTGAATGATTGTTCTGAAATTGACATATCAAGGAGCTTCTCATCTATTATTAAATTACCTTTTCCTCAAACAAAATATTTATCAGATTGTCTTAGGCTTGGTTCTCTAGAGGAGCAAAACCAGTGAAGCATATCTATATCTGTGTATATATATGTGTATATATATATATGTATATATGTGTGTGTGTGTGT